CTTAAATCAAAGTATGAGTGAAATACAGTGATTTGCTTTTAATGACCAAAAAGCCCGTGCTGCATGTTGTTAGTTTAGTCTTTATTGTGGCATTAATATTTATACAAGCCAGCTAATGCTGAAGTTTTATATCAGTTTCCAAGCTGTTTAGTAATTATTTCTGATTGTTTCCTATGGCTCACCCTCACTGGCTCATGGTCTACCCCGTGTCACCCCGTTTTAGAAAATCATGGAAACACCCGTGTTCATTCTTATGTACCACTTTTTTTTTCCTTTTAACTGCTTCCACCTCATGATATATAGCAAAAGCAGGCTCCCACCTATCTAGATCTGTGTGCTCAAAAACATTTTAGTAATAAAATGCTACGAAATCTTCTCAACAACAATCTGAACTTTCAATCTGGCAGCTACAGTGCGGTTACATCACTTCAGATCTCTCAGTGGCTCGATGATATAATCACTGTGTACTGCCCAAGTCTTCTGACTCACACTGATTAAAGCAAGGCATAACAAGAAAAGAGAGGTCTAACTGCTTCTGTCAATCTTCATCATAGCAGCTCCCAGAATTTATGGTAACCCAGTGCTACATCCACACAGAAAACAAGTAAATGTCATTAAAACACGATCTTAAAAAACCCCAACTGCATTACTGTCAATACAAATAAAAACCAGCGCGCACAAGTATTTTTGTACATAGCGTGCTCTCTCGCTGTCTGTTTCTCACCCAAGCCGATGTGATGCAATGCAAGCAGCTAAGCAAGGTAGCCTTTCATGTTCTTCATCCTTGAATCCTTTTTAAGTCTATTGTGGATACATTTTGAAGATCAAAAGGCAGCGATATTCAATTCAGATCAAAATAAAACTACTTTTTCTTGGTTCCTACATTGCTCAGAACCTTACTCGAGTTCAATTACATTTCAGGCCAAAGGAGTGAGACGGGGGAAGTGACGCTTGCTGACATACTGCTGTGGTCACAGGCATTTAAGAACGACCTAGATTTGGCTTGCTTTAACGAAGCTTTATGGAAAAAAACAACAACACAGAAGCATGACTATTTAGATGAATGAAAGTAGGCCTCTCTCTGTAAATCCTATTTCCAGGATGCACTGCATTTTGGTGAATATTTACCCAAGTACAGGTTGGGGACATTTGGAAGATTGCATTTTTGTTTTTAAATTAATATTTCGAATGCTGTAGAGTCCCCTATAGAGTAAGGAAAGCCAATATGCTTTCTCAGTAATTCACACTTGAGGTGCTTCTAGAGCTACAAATTGCTCCTTTCTTTGCTACCATAACCCAGCTCAATACAAATTACTATTTTGTGGTTGCAATTACCCACACAGCACTATATATATATATGTTTTTTCCCCATTTATGCAGGCTGTGTATGACAAATACAAAACTGTGCAACACATACTAATACAGATACACTGTAATCAATAAATTATGCATATGGTGGGGGTTTTATACAAAGGGCCACCTGCACCACAGACTTGAGAATGGAGGTGTGTTGTATGCACTAATTGCCTCTTCAGCTGAGCAGCACTAAATTTAATCAGACCACAAACTTTAATGCCTTACTCCCCAGTGGCACGTAATGGACTCAGTAATGCAATGAAATCCTTATCTCTCCCTGCTAGGACCCCATATGTATCAGGCTTAATGGCGTGAAGGCAACACAGAACAGGTCTGACCAATGTAATGGCCTTTGTGGTAGCCTCTGCTGGTTTGCTAATGAGACTCCCGCATTCAAAAGGGGCCAAAAAGTCCAAGCCATTAGCGAAGAGTTACACTCGACCGGGATGATTCGCAACGTTCAAGCCTCACTGCTGCCTTTCTCTTGCGGTGAAATGTGGCACCGAGATTAAGAAACACAATTTAGAACGCCCTCGTTCCGCGTTCTCTTAAGCTCGTTGGTGCATGTGTGGCTGAAGCTCCGGTTTATCGTTTGGCTTCTTTGATATGACAAATCTCTGATCACGGCACTAAAATATGAAAGCGTGGCGGAAAAAAACAGTGTTCATGCTGATGACAGCCAAAGGTCCGCTCTTGAGGCTTAGGCTTTTCTGCTTAGAAGTGATGTTAGAGTCTCTGCTAATTCCTTTTTAACAAATAACTGCTGTGATTAGTTTGCAGGCTTGGGGCTTAAGGTTGCAGCATTACTCCTGTTGCACCTCAGTGACAGAAATAACATGTATTTATGGTACTTGAATAATCCGAATCATTGTCTGTAGGAGCTCAAACCAGATTTCGGATTTCACAAACATCAAACTGGCTCCCAATTAAATGATTTTTAATCATACCATACCCCTATTTGGGTCTTTTTGTTATCATCAGCAGCAAATCCTTGTGTTTTGGTGCATTATTTACTTTATCATAGCCCCTCATTCTTGCATCATTACTGTGTTCTCTGACACAGATTGAAGTGTCCAACTTATTCTAAGAGGAAAATGCTGCAATGCCTGTTGAGATGCTATCTTACATCTTTCCTGCACTGCAGAGAAAACTGCTTGCAAGAGTATCTCATTATAAGCTTGCTGCATGTAAACAAGCAGGGAAATGTCTTGAGAGCGCAATTTTGCGAGAAAGCGCTACAGTTGCTAGCAAAAGCTTAATTTAGTTGTTTTGTTGTTTAGTGATTAAACCCGTGTTGTGTTGCTTCATTTTACTTGACTGGAACTGTGTCCATATGTGGTCCCTTAAATTTAATTTCCCTCTGTATGCACGGCACACCTGAAAATGTAGTCCCCACTATCTGATCCTGACTAAAACCTTAATAAAGGTTAAATTGCTCTCTCGTCCTCCCTTTCCTTGCACCACCACTCTTGACTTTTTCTAAGAACAAACAGACCATGAGAGTTTAAAGGAAAACCAATAACTAAGAACCATTAGAGGACTCTGTTGATGTAAATAGCCAGCATACTCAAGAGGCACAATATGGATCTGATCCAGGAAAAGACAATGAAAACAAAAGCTATTTCAGTCAAAAGAAATTACATCAGAGGAAAAACCATCCTGTATGCAGCTATTTGCTTTCAGATATTCTTAATGGGGTTTTTATTATGTAGTTTATTTTTGTTTTCTTGAGAAAATGTTTATTTTAGGGCAGATCGCTGGATTTATTCTGTTTTGATGTGTTTTGTCAGGGAAGGTGAAATCAAACAACCACAGTTACCTCAGGATGTGAGCTGAACTGGCCTTTTTCATTTCCGACATGTCCGTGTGGTGTGAGGTTGAGCATCGTGTTGTTAGAAGTGTTCGCTTGCTCATTTGCTGCTGTTGTGTTCCCCGGACACTGCTCTCCTTTATCAGTCCATATTAATCTCACAGTTAACCCCAGAAGCAAACCTGCAAAAGAATTACAAACAGCAAAAACTGTTATTAAAGGGGTAATTCACTATATTACACTAAAAACAAAAACTTTGGGTTCTGGAAAAGAATGAAAGTGCAATGTGCCACATGTTGACATAAATGTGCACATTTTAAAACTATTTCCATGCATCAAGTATAGGACAACTAATTGCTTGTTACACCTGCATATCAGGAGTCACCTAAAGATGCTGTGTTCTCGTATAAAATGATGAATAAAGCAAAATGAGATGCCGGTGTCCATAACTGCATGCCTCTGAAACCCCAGAAATGTCTTCTATAAACATTTTCGATACATCTTTCAAGCCCCGAGTCCAGGAAGTATTGCTGAATAACGGCTTCCGTAGTCTGTAAATATTTAGGCTACTTACCATAAAACATTGCAACCCCAGCTTCATTTACCAATTTATATTTGAACTGCTTTAACTTCCACACACTGAGGATGGTTATGAGTGCCAGGGTGACAGCAGCGAACACCGGTAACGCTACAGTATCTTGTTTTTGCTGCACAGCGCCCGACATCATCAAAAGCCTGGGTCAAACTTTTCGGAAAGAACTCTGCTACTTTTTTGGCTCAGACACAGCAACATCCGCATCAGCAGCGCCCTGAGAGCCCGTGCTGCCTTCAGTAATACTTGGAATTTGCAGTTTTTTCGTGCGAAGGCTTGGAGGGGGAAAAAGCACCATATTTTTAATTAAAAAAAGAAAGATAAGATAATGTAGGGCAATAAAAATGTGTTGGTATGCTTTTTGGGGTTTTTTTTTATTTTTATAAATGACGAAATACAGAGCTGCTTTATGTTTCGTCATTAATGCAACACAGATGTAGGCCGATGAAATCAGATACAATCAAAGAAAAGTTAAGCACACGCAAGAACTGGACATTCAGAGAGAGATATATTAAATCCTTTATCGCGTGGGAAAAGAATACGTGTCACAGTTACTTACCTGTTCTGCTGACATTATGTTTTTGCAAATCAATAAAAAATATTGACGGTGTTTTCGTAAGCCACAGAAAATAACACACGTTGGGTGTCATCCTCCTATTTTCCAGCAGATGGCAGACAATGCAAACATATGAAAGCGTGATTCTCAGCTGCTGCGATATTTGATCGTACTGTTTATCGTTCTTTATCAGTAAGTGAATCATTCATAGTCAGAAATTAACAGAGAATAAAATAAAATTAAGTGGTTTATGAATTAGTCTTTATTTTAGGCCACATTGACTGAGCACGACATCTTTTACTTGCAGTGTATTGTCTTTATTTTATTTTATTGTGCTCTTGTTGACTGAAAAAAATGAAAAAAAGTATATCAATTAGACCTTGTATGAGTTTACTTTAACTATGCAGCCGTTTATATTAGCAGTATGGTTTTTTTACTTACCACCTCTAGCATCTTTCTTTCCTTCTCACATTAAACTAAACGGTACAACAATCTAAAATGAACATTAGTTTCAGGTAATGTTACAAATTCTTTAAAAGGCTGGTGTTAGCCTAATTGGAGCGACATGAAAGGAAAAAAAATAGAAATTCTGGTAAAGTTTGCACTGGGGGCGGCATTCCAGACAAGACAATATTAGAATAATCGCTTAGCAACCGTGCCCGTAAACAGAGAACGGTTGTCGTAAAGAGTAAAGAGGCTGGTGTTGAAAAGAGTCGAAACAGAACCCATTGTGGTGTTGGAGAGGAGTGAGCAGCTGCCTGAGAGAACAAGAAAAGAGGCAATACCGTAACCGCGGACGGGACTCGCAACACGCGGACAGATATGGACGTTAATTCACCGCACGGACGCGGTTGTCCTTTGTAAAGAGGAGTCCGTCGTCCAGTCGGAAACATCCGGTAAACGAAGAGTTAAGGACTCGACAGCTCAACTGTTTATTTCAGCGGCTAGCAGGCTAGCTGGCTAGATACCTAAGAGCTAGAAATGGGAAGCCCGTTTGAGTGTGCTTGATAGAGATCTTCGTCGAGCTTTGAAGAAGCAGCTTTCGGCTGAGATACAATCGCCGGTGTTTTAAAGTCCCCTCTCGTCCGCCTCGTAAGTAGCCGCAACTTTGAAGAATGATATCAGCTGAGCGCTAACCATTTCACTACTACAAAGCCGGAGAGGGGGGAAAAGTCACAGGTTTGTTTCACAGTTGTTTCTTCTCTTTGCAGTCCGTGCTGCCTTTGAACTCTTTTTCTTTTTTGTTTTGTTTTTTATTTAAAGCGAGAGGAGGTAAATTGTGCATTGCAGAAGTGGCTCACACGTCTATTTTTGAGCAGTTCGATAAAGAAAAAAAAATCCATAAAAGCAATAAAAACTCAATGTTTTGATTTTTTTTTATATCAGTAAGAGGATGCATAACAGTTCGAGTGTCCGTCGTGTGACCTTAGATCAAGCAAAGATAATTAAAGCAAAAAAGGACAACAAACCTCATCGCTTTTTAAAAACAAACTCTTATCAGATGCCCACATCCACTGTGCGGTGACAAGAAGCATATTATTACCGCTATTACTGCTGGTGGTGTCATTTTAGTTGCAGCGGAACAGTCTAAGCATAGGTGGGTTAGTATGTTTCCCTCTAATTACACGCTGTTTTTAATCTTTTCGTTATTTGCCTTGCATTAGAGACTATAGCAAGACTCCTATGCACAATTTGATGTTGAATCAAAAAAGGGGGAAAAAGCATAATGGGGGAAAAATGGATGAGAATGGATACACTGTAGAGTGAAGACAATGTGCTGCCCCTGAACTCTATTTGTATGCAGATCATACTAAATTACAGCAACAACGCTGGTGTCCAGGAGGTATCATGTTTGCCGGAGGCGCTATTAACGTTTTAGTATTTATTTAACAAAACATTGCT